GAGCAGCGTACTCGGCGTGTGGGTAGCAGAGTTGGGATTGATGGAAGAGGACTATAAAGGAGGAGAGAGACAACATGCACCAGGAACATCTAAGGGGAACATCCGGATAACATCTGAGCAGCCCCCGAGAGAGCCGGCTGGCGGTGTGCCGCTCCCCCGCGGAAGTGGGGAAAGTGGCAGGGGGAACCGCCCTTCCACGGAGGTGGAAGGAACATCAGCCAACCCGGGAAGGGCCGAGCAGACAAAAGAACAACGCAGGGTCCTGTGTCGTTCCTCCGCGAAAAGGGGGAGCGACATTCACCTATGATTTTAACATCTACAACTTTTTCTCTGGTCACCACTCAGCCATACGTTAAATGTTATCTCAAGCATATATTAATGTTGGCTCTCAGAACTGTTCATTTTTTAACCCTGTAACTGCAGAGTTGTCCCTTGGCATCCATGCAGGATCAGTTCCATGGACACCAAAATCTGTGAATACTCAAGTCCTCTATCTTATAGCATAGAGTTTATATACAATCTACATATATCCTCCCATATACTTCAAATCACATCTAGGTTACTTATACTTAATACAGATCTGCAGTTGGTTGAATATGAAGAAGCGGAACCCAAAGATATGGAGAGCCAAATGTATACTGTCTACAATTGTACTTTATTCACATACTTGTAATATTCTTTAGACAGATCACAATTACAACTCCTTCCAGAAGTCTTACAGATAATGCTTATGTGCTGAAATAAACTTCAAGGTATTACGAACTTTAATTACTGACTTTCAAACATAATGTAAGAAAATACATTTTCAGTAATATGAATACAGAAGACTTTTTTTGTTTATTTATTTTATAGGCAGAGACAGGCACTTCTACCCTACTTCACTCCCCTAAATGTCCACAACAGCCAGAGTGGGCAGGCTGAAGTCAGAAGGAGGAAACTTAATCCTGGCCTCCCAGATGGGTGGCAGGTAACCAACTACTGGAGCCATCACTGCTGCTTCTCAAGATGTGCATTAGCAGGAAGCTGGAATTGGGAATGAAGCTAGGACTTGAACCCAGAACCTCTGATACAGGATGTGGCCATCCAAAGCAGTGTTCTAACCTTTGTGCATTGCAGGCATCCCATATGGATGCCGGTTCAAGTCCTGGCTGCTCCACTTCCAATCCAGCTCTCTGCCATGGCCTGGGAAAGCAATGGAGGATGGACCAAGCCTTTGGGCCCTTGCACCCACATGGGAGACCAGGAAGAAACACCTGGCTCCTGGCTTCAGATTGGTGCGGCTCCAGCCATTGCAGCCATCTGGGGAGTGAACCAGCAGATGGAAGGGCCCCCCTCCCTGCCTCTGCCACTGTGTAATTCTGCCTTTCAAATAAATAAATGAATAAATGAATAAAGCTAGAGCTCTTTCTCTCTCAAAATCTGTCTTTAAAACCACTTTAAAGTTTTAATTTAAAATGTTTTATTCGCAAAAGCATTTTAAAAGCTACAATCTTAAAACTTTATTACATTGCTTAAAAGCATACATTTACCAAAATAACATTTTTAATATAAAAATGCCTCTCAATCCCCACCACAAAATTAATAAGATTTGTTTATTAGTCAAACTTGCTTTTTTATAAAGACTGGTTATTAAAATGAACCACAGAAGATATCCTAAAACTTTGGACTGCCATTATAGGATACTCTAATTCAGTCATTTAGAGAAGCCTTCAATATTCATTCTAATTTACTAAATCTGCTTAAAGGCTAACAGCAGGATACTCATTTTTCTTGAAAAATTTGACCACCAAAAATATCTAGGAGACATGTAAGGCACTCTACTTTAGGGAATGATCATTTCCATATGAATTTTTTAAAATTTATTTATTTATTTGAAAGTCAGAGTTACACAGAGAGGAGAGGCAGAGAGAGAGAGAAGTCTTCCATCGATGGTTCACTCCCCAATTGGATGCAACGGCCGGAGCTACACCAATCCAAAGCCAGGAGCCAGGAGCTGCTTCCGGATCTCCCACGTGGGTACAGGGGTCCAAGGATTTGGGCCATCTTTTACTGCTTTCCCAGGCCATAGCAGAGAGCTGGATAGGAAGTGGAGTACCCAGGACCCGAACTGGCACCCATACGGGATACCGGCGTTTCAGGCCAGGGCATTAACCCACTGCACCACAGTGCTGGCCCCTAAATTTTTTAAATTTTATTTGAAAGGCAGACAAAGCTCCCATCTGCTGGCTCACTACTCCCCAAATGCCTGCAAAGACCAGAGGCTAAGCTGGGAACCAGGAATTCCACTGGTTATCCCTCAGGTGGCAGGAACCCAATCACTGTAACTGCTGTCTCCCATAGTCCACCCCAGGGAAGCTGGACCTAGGAGCAGAGCTGGGACTCAAATGAGACACTCCAATTCAGTAGGGGATACTCCAATCGGTGGCTAAATCACCAGGCCAAACACCCATTTAAAAATAAGGCCAGCACTGTTGCATAGTGGGTAAAGCCACGACCTGCAACACCAACATCCAATAATGGGAGCCGATGTCCTGGCTGCTCCACTTCTGATCCAACTCCCTGATCATAGTTCAGGAAAAGCAGCAGAAGACAGCTGAAGTGCTTGGGCCCCTGCCACCCACGTGGGAGACCAAGATGAAGCTCCTGGCTCCTGGCTTTGGCCTGGCCCAGCACTGGCCATGGTGGCCATCTGGTGAGTAAACCAGCAGGTTAAAGATCTCTCTCTCTCTCTGTTTCTCTATCACTTTCAAATAAAGAAACAAATCTTCAAAAATAAATAACAAAAAATTAAATAGTATAATTATATTAAAAAGTTAAAAGTACAGAAATAAACCAAGTAAAAAATAAGTTTCCATTTATCTCTTCAACCCATTTTGATCTCATTCCCCAGAGGAAAACAAGTAAGTTTCCATTTATCTCTCCAATCGCATTCTCCAGAAGAAACCAAAATTAACAAAGTTTGGTGTATAATCTTCTAAAAAAAACCCACCAACTCAATATACTCACAGATAATTCACTGGGAATTTTATATTCTCTGAGACTTTGATCAAAAGAATTGGTTGGTAGTAACATTATTTCTTAAGATGTTAACGTAATGCTTTTGCCACCACTATACATTGTTTTCCCCAAAAAAAGCTGTGAGGCAGCACACAGGAATAAACATGCCAAAATTACCAAAAGAATAGAAAGGTAGAAAATGCTGGTGAAGGGATCAACACCTTCAGTGCAATTTTAAAGTAACATTTTTTGTGATCCTTCCCAAAAAGCAAAAGATAATACTTATATAACTCTTATTTTACTCTAAAAAACAGCAAAATAAAACAGTGGTTTGCTAAGGAACAATTTTTCACCAGTAATTTGGGAAATTTTCTCACATAGGTTTTAGGAAAATTATAACATAATATTATAATACCATCAATCAAAACATCACAATAATTGGAGAACTTTAAATTGTTATCAAAATGTAAAGTATAAGGTTAAGAAGAGATGGAAGTTCCCAAGTTCTAACAACCCACAAGAGCTAGAACTAGTAAGACAACTACAGAAACAGGGAAATTTTGTATTATTTAAATTACATTCCTTAAATATTATTTAAATGCATTCACAGCTATCAACAGGATCAACACAGTGTGAAAGAAGCCTGAGTAATGCAATTAGCTGTCCACCAAACCTCTCATTTTAAAGTTAATTCTGCATCTTCATACTCTATCTGCACACATACAAACTGCACTAAAAATATAGCTAATATGGTAAGTTTGTTACATTATTAAAGAGGATCTAAAATAGATGACCTACTTAAGGACAAATAGGTTATCTAATGCCTATGTATCCATGCTGAAGAGCAGTTACTAAGGAAACAAGGATTCACGAAGTCATCCAAGTGCTTTCAACTATTCGCTTGGCCTTAAGATAGTGGAGGTTAAGTCATCAATGGGAGCAACCAAGTAGTGGAGTGATTCTGGAGGAGCTAAATGTGACACATACTGACAGGACATCTAATCAGAATGTTGCTTGCCCATGGTGCTGACAAACTGTTCACATACATGAGATGTATACAAAGCAGATGCATAAAAGTCAGAGGATACTCATAAGGTGAATTTGGAGCTGTCAATAAAAGTTGAAATCTCATATCTAAAAATAATAATTGGTAGTTATCACTAATAATTCTACTGGAAATCTGTAACTAAATTCCATTAACTACTCTTGAATATTATTCTCTATTTCTTAGTAGTATCAAAATAAGTTTTTTAAAGAAGGAAAACAGGTAGAAAGCAAAGTAGGTCACACTTAATTTAGTACTAGACTTGTAAACTAATTTTCCCCCTCTTAAATCTCATAATTTCTTGATAAATTCTTCTATATGTAACCCTCCACTTCTTGTAAAGCAAGATGACTACTCTAAGATCAGATTTAATAAAATGCACAAAATTATTTTTCTTTCTAATACCATTTTTGATGATATCTAGTTTGTGAAACTTTAACAAAAGCAGTAAAACAGACTGAAAAAGCATTAGCTTAAACATTTGGATTTATGTCTCCAGTGACCATTAGAGTTCTCCTGTACACCTGTCCCACGCCAGGTTAGAGCCCTTCTGCATGTGTTTTTTACAAGAATGAGTTAATAAATATTAAACAAACTAAAGTATCTGATACACAGAAATTTACCAAGAAGTTTTTCAATCACATAAGCGAGTACTATAAAGAATGCACTTTCTGTCCCCAGTCTCTACTAGGAAAAAATAAGTTTTTAAATAAAAATTACATTAAAGTAGCTGGAGACTATGTAATTGTTTCCTTCTGGTATTAGATGGCAACAAACATTCCAAAATAGTCTATTAAAATCTTTCTGAATTTAGAAATGAAGTTTGTTTAAAAAGTTTTTAAAATTCTAGGCAGAGATAATTTAATTTCAAAACATTTCCCCTCTGTTTTACAGTACAATTCATACTTAAGAATATGCACTTCAAACTTAAAATAATCTTGGGTATATAAAGACTCACCATCTGTATGGGTTTCTTGTGGAGATCTCGTTCAGTTACCAACTTTTCCTGGTCGGTGACATAAAGACCTTTCTGTGCTAAGGCTTGCATTACAGCATCATGGCCCAAAAGGGGCTTTGCAGCATCACTCTTGAGAATGAGACTCCCAGCACGACAGTAAAGTTCAGCAGATAGAAGCAAATTAACAACAGGTGGTTTGATGTGTTCCTGGTCATACTGATCTGTGTAAAATGGTTCTTGAAGTTCCTCTGGCACATTTTCTATAAAGATTAAGGAAAAATATCTCTTATAAGGTTTTTATAAAAGAAACAAAATTTAATTTAATAATTAGTATTTACATCACATAAGGTTTCCTCTAAAAATAACAATAATCTTTAAATGACAAGATGATTTATAATTCCTTGGCATATAATCTACAATGAGAGAAAGGTACAAATTTCCTTTATAGGAGATGAGTATATCCCAAAAAGGGATTACAAAGAAAACAAGAAGAAAAGTTTTTTAGCCCAGTGGTTCTGGCAAAAGTTTTCCCACACACATAATCAAACCTGATACAGATAAGCTGAGATTCCTAAAAACTAATTTCAGTGAATATCCTCACATACAAGCGATCAACCAGGAAATGCACTACAACAGCTATTGGAAGAGATTGCTAAGCCTTGCGACCTCAGAATATGAAAAAAAAAAAAAAATTAGAGGCAGCATCAATTCTGGAAGCAATATCATTAACTCAGGTTTCAACAAGTTTGAAATGATTGTAAAAATACCCAATAAGCAGCAAGAGATACAGGACTCCGGAATGAGGTCAAAGGAGATGCATCAATCAGGGTTTTTGGTGACACCTAAAAATATTATTCTTACTTAATAACTGAAAATACTTTCCTTCCTTCATAGCCTTATTAAGTTAGCAGTGAGCCAATCTTAAACTTAATTTAGTTGCCTCAGCATTGTGAACTACAGAATATATAGTGCTGGTATTCATTTAAATTTTAGTATCACAGGAACTAATAGAGGCTAGTTTTTAGAACAACTGTAAAAAGTAAATTATCTCACTTTAAGATAACTTATAAAAATGTATGCACGATGGGTTTATATTTTCTGTATCAATTTAAAAATGACTAATATAGGTGATGTGGTATCTGAATATTAGCTGTGGAAATAGTGTTCCTTATCAAGATTATAAATGTATCTATTATACCTACATACATCCACCTAAAATTTACTTACCACTGTTAGATTCATTTTCACACATGATCTTTACAACACGGTGACACTGGCAAATCAGACCCTATACAGATAAATAACAACACTAGTAATACTTACTAAGGAACTTCTACGTGTCAGACACTCCTAAACACGATTCTGACATATAATCTTAACAACCTTCTTATCCCCATTTGAAAAATAAAGAAGAGAGGTTATCTTGCCTGAAAACACAAAACTGATAACAGAATTCTAGCTCTAAATTATCTAGATGAACAGACTCAAAACTAACAAGGGTTTGCCAGGATCCCAAGGTGAAGACAGGGGCTGAGGACTGTCTCCATTTTCTTAAGGCATACCCATAAGCCAAAGGAAACACTAAACAAATTGGGGAGGCAACCGACAGAATGGGAGAAAATATCTGCGAACCATGCAACTGATACAGGATTAATATCCAGAATGTATAAAGAGCTCAAGAAACTCAACAACAACAAAACCATCAATCCAGTTAAGAAATGGGCAAAAGACTTGAACACACATTTCTCAAAAGACGAAATTCAAATGACCAACACATGAAAAAATACTCATGATCACTAGCCATCAAGGAAATGCAAATCAAAACCACAGTGAGGTTTCACCTCACCTCAGTTAGAAATACATACAGAAATCAAAAAACAGGCCGGCGCCGCGGCTCATTAGGCTAATCCTCCGCCTTGCGGTGCCGGCACCCAGGGTTCTAGTCCCGGTCGGGGTGCCGGATTCTGTCCAGGTTGCCCCTCTTCCAGGCCAGCTCTCTGCTGTGACCAGGGAGTGCAGTGGAGGATAGCCCAAGTACTTGGGCCCTGCACCCCATGGGAGACCAGGAGAAGCACCTGGCTCCTGCCTTTGGATCAGCGCGGTGCACCGGCCGCGGCAGCCATTGGAGGGTAAACAAACGGCAAGGGAGGACCTTTCTCTCTGTCTCTCTCTCTCACTGCCCACTCTGCCTGTCAAAAAAAAAAAAAAAAAAAAAGAAAGAAAGAAAAGAAATCAAAAAGCAATCAATGCTGACAAGGATATAGGGAAAAAGGTACCCTAATCCACTGCTGGTGGGAATGTAAACTAGTACAACTATTATGGAAGACAGTATGGAGATACCTCAGAAATCTGAAAATTAGTCTACCACATGACCCAGCCATCTCACTCCTTAGAATTTACCCAAATGAAATGAAATCAGCATATGAAAGAGTTATCTGCATCCCCATGTTTATTGCAGCTCAATTCACAATAGCTAAGATATGGAATCAACACAGATGTCCATCAACCAATGACTGGATAAAGCAAATATGGTATATATACACTATGGAATACAACTCAGCCATAAAAAAGAATGAAATCCTGTCTTTCACAACAAAATAGATGCAATTGGAAACCATTATACTTGAAATAAGACAGTCCCAAAAAGACAAATATGTTTTCCCTGTTCTGTGGTAACCAAGAGTATTTAAAAATGTAGTGTATATGAACAAAATTGACTTGAGGTTTTATTACTGTTTATAGTCCTTGTCTCCACTGTTGAGGAACAGGGTTTTTTTCCTTCTTATTATTTGTTGAGTTCTTCACTTAGTGGAGGGTTAAGGTTATGATTATTAAATAAACTGACAGTATATCATTGTAAAAATTTAAAGAATTAGAAAAGAAGGAGGAAGGTGGGAAAGTGGGCAGGAGGGAGGGTAGAGTGGGAGGTATCACTATGTCCCTAAATCTGTTTGAATTTGTTTACCTTATATAAATTTTAAAAACTGAAAAAAATAAACCCCAAAGATTCATAGCAAACCAAAAAAAATTTCAAAAATATGACAAAAACAGATTTTTCAACCCCCAAAGAATGTAAAGCTACATACTAAATATTATAAAATAGGTCACTTGAGAAACAAGGTTTCTTTTTTTTTTAATGGGCATTAATCATGTCTTTTATAATGGCATTATATGGCACAATCAAAAGTCAAACTTTTTAATTCTGTTAAAATGGCAATCAAATACAAACATCAGTTATGAAGGAGACAAACATTCAAATAGCATTTCAACACTGTCCTCTCAAAACTATATCCTGCTCACATACTAAATACATTCATTCCTGTTGCTCCCCCTCTTCGCGGAGGAACGACACAGGACCCTGCACTGTTCTTTTGTCTGCTCGGCCCTTCCCGGGTTTGCTGCTGGTTCTTCCCGGGTTGGCTACCGACCAACCCACCTCCGTGGGAGGGCGGTGCCCCCTGCCACTTTCCCCACTTCCGCGGAGGAGCGGCACACCGCCAGCCGGCTCTCTCGGGGGCTGCTCAGATGTTCCTCGGTGTTCCTGGTGTATGTTGTCTCTCTCCTCCTTTATAGTCCTCTTCCACCAATCCCAGCTCTGCTACCCACAACCAAGCACGCTGCTCTCCTCCAATCAGGAGCGGGATCAGCTCCTGCAGGTTACTGGTTGAACTGGAGGCAGCTGTGTAAAAGTTGTTTACTCCTCTCACAGCGCCATATTGTGGGAGAGCAGATGCATAGAATAAGTCTTAATTCCAGTAACTTAGTCTAGTCTGAGTTGCTCCCCACAATTCCATCCCAATAGCCCCAATAAAATGTTAACATAGTCTAGGTGGCCGGCGCCGCAGCTCACTAGGCTAATCCTCCGCCTTGCGGCACTGGCACACCGGGTTCTAGTCCCAGTCGGGGCGCTGGATTCTGTCCCGGTTGCCCCTCTTCCAGGCCAGCTCTCTGCTGTGACCAGGGAGTGCAGTGGAGGATGGCTCAAGTGCTTGGGCCCTGCACCCCATGGGAGACCAGGAGAAGCACCTGGCTCTTGCCATCATATCAGTGCAGTGCGCCGGGTGAACCAATGGCAAAAGGAAGACCTTTCTCTCTCTCTCACTGTCCACTCTGCCTGTCAAACAAACAAAAAACACAACATAGTCCAAGTCCAGAGAATCAACTAAATCAAATATAGCAGAAAATCAAAAAATAATGAATTCTAAGTAAATTCCTCTTCAGCTGAGAGTCCATAAAATCTAACAAGTTACCTACTTCCAAAATACAATGGTGGGACAGATGCAGTATAAACATTCTCTTTCCAAAATGGAGCAGCAAGAAAGGAGAAACAGGTCCCAAGGAAGTCTAAAACCTAGTAGGTGGAATAACTAAACCATAAAACTTGAGAATAACGTCTGACTCCATTTCCTCCCTTCAGGGCGTACTGGGGTGGGAAATGAAGACCTCGGGAGCCCTGACTCTACGGCGTTGCTGACATTGGTCCATACAGCTCACCCAGGTTGGAGTCTCATGCCTGTAGCTCCCCCAGGCTGGCACTGTATATTGGTGGTTCTTCGCTTCTCAAGTCTCAGGGCAGACCTTACCCCACGGCTCTACTAGGCCTCGTGGAGAATCTCTTTAACCGATCTGGCCCTGTAACATACCTTGGAAGCAGCCTTTTTAAGAGAAACAAGGTTTCAAGAACTAAATATGTGGGCCAGCATTGTAGTGTAGTAAATGCTATTTGATGCCAGTATCCTGTATCTGAACACCAGTTTGATTCCCAGCTGTTTTGTTTCCCATCCAGCTCCCTGCTAATGTGCCTGGGAAGGCAGCAGAAGATGGTCCAAGCGCTTGGGCCTCTGCCACCCATGCGGAGACCAGAATGGAGTTCCTGGCAGCTTCAGCATTGCTCTGACTTGACTGTTGAGGCCATTTGGGGAGTGAACCAACAGATGGAAGATTTCTCTGTGTCCCTTCCTTTCTCTCTCTCGTTCTACTTTTCAAATAAATAAATTAATCTTTAAAAAGAAAACTAAATATGCCTACTAAGAGAGACCTATCCTGGAGTGTTGGTTCCAGTCTCAGTTGCTCCATCTCCAATCCAGGTACCTGCTAATGCACCTGGGATAAACAGCAAATTAAAAACAAACAAAACAAACAGACAAACAAACAAAAAAACACAAGCAAGTACTTGGGTCCCTGCCACCCATGTAGGAGAGCGGATGGAGTTTCAGGCTCCTGATTTCAGCCTGGCTCAGCCCTGGCTGTTGTGGCCATACAGGGAGTGAACCAGTGAATGAAGACCCATTTCTCTCCAACACTCTCCCTCTTTCTATCACTTTGCCTTTCAAATAAAAAAATTTTGGTTAAAAAAAAGAGAAAACTTTAAAAATGTCTATCATTTTACCAATGTTACACTTATTTTATTAAAACAACTTGCAATTATATCACATTTTTTAAAAAGTAAACTGAAACAGCATTTTTAAAAAATAAATAGGCAAAAATAAAGATCAGAAATTTTACTCTCTTCTTATCTCCCAAACACAAAAAGCAAGAAAGCAACACTTGTGGAAAAACTGAGTGAAATAATACTGCTAGAATTGCAATAAGAGACAAGTTTTTCTTGTATACCACATCATAAGCAGAAATCAGTTAATCATGTTATAAATCTTGGATAGGTCTAAGTTTTGACATTAACGTTCATGTGAAATGCTTGAGGTACAGGTAGAGGGAGTAGTGACAATATTGCTCAAGACAATTTTTTATAAAGCTAGGGTAGCTACTGTTTTATCCATATTCCACAAGTGGTAAAGATTTTCTTAAAATAATTAAAAGGCAGGAAGTAGGAGAGAAATGCATTTTATAAATTAAATATTATTGCACTAAATCATGAGAACATTGCCTTATTTTCCAAGTCTAAAAACAATTGTTTGTAATCATTGCTAATTAAAAAACTGTACATTTCAGAAAAAAATAAATCAGACTCTGAATTCAAAATTAACCAAAAAACATAAAAATGGTCAATAACATGGAAAAAAATTACAGAATCAGTAATCTAAGGAAGTTGTGAGACATGTCATGAATGACAAGGATATACTGAAATGAATACCTTCATACATGATCAAAGGGCAAGGACCATGTCTGTCCTATTCACCATGATATGAATTCCTCAGCACCTAACCCGGTGCCTGCTACATGGCAAGCACTCAATAAATATTTGACAAGTGAGTGAAAATTTTTTGTTGTTGTTGAAAATTCTAGTGATGGGGTTAGCATTGTGGCAAGTGGATTAAACACTACTTAGGA